CCTGGGAAGCTTCAAATAACCCCAGCTACCAGGAGAGGAAAGAAGCGAAAAAGGTGAAATGCGTACCTCATTAATTCTTAGATTCTTTCCTACTTCAAGGAAAGTCACTGCAAACAGGATCTCCTCATTTCCTGACCTGCAGGCTTGGACAGAGGGTGCTCTATGGCTTGCTTCATGAATTACTGACAAGGACTGAAGGTCAGGGTAACATGAGGCTATTTAAGCTTGGCAGAGGGGCTGGCAAGACAGGAGATCTCAGGAAAATCTCAGGAAAGACCTTGTTTCTTGTCCCTGATGCCAGCAGAATCACTTACAAGCAACTTGTTTGTGGACAACATACATTATTTGGCTAGGAGATGTCTGCTCTGCAGAATGCTCCTGGGTGTCCCTTCCACTCACAGTGTCTGGTGGTCCATCAAGAGGAGGTGCCCTGCCACTGACACAACTGTTTGAAGACCCCTCTATCCAGAGGGCTTCTTTCTCAGTGCAAGCTCCCCATGCCTGCAGAATGAAACCAAGCAAAAATGGGAAAAAATAATAGACTGCACTTATTAATAAATTATGGCTTACCTATTCATAAGCCTGCTGTCTTGGGAAAGTTTAAAACAAAGCCCTGTTCTCTAGCTGTTTATTTCTTAAACACTGCCATCTCCTGCTGTGCGTGCTTCAGCTCCATGTCTTGATAGCAACTGCAGAAACTGAAACAACAGAAAAAGGGACAAACAACTTCAGTTAAACCAAGTTTGGTATACAGATTTTTTCTATCAAGAATGATCTTGTGCACTTAGAGAACTGGATTCAAGGGTATAGGTTGAGCTCTGCCACTGCCCTCCTCTTCAGCTTCAGGCATATCTTTTACATTTTTTCCATCTGCATTTTCCAGGCATGAAATGCTGTGGGAGGTGGAGAGGAGATTTCCCAGTCTTTGCCTGTCCTGTTGCTTAGGCTGTTTTTCCCACTAGCTCACACAGCTGGGGTCTGTGCCTGTGAAAACCCATATGAGGGGGCAGTAGGGATGAAGAAGGTGTTCCGGTACTAGCATCTGCCGTCCCTCAGCAGAGGGGTGAGCACACATATTTGGGTGTTCAGACAGTTCTCACTTTCACCAAGTCGTGAATGGCAACAGACTGGGAACCCCCACCACCAGCCACCCAGATGGGTTTGCAAGGTTTTGGACATACAGTCCCCACCATGCAGCTACCACTTCACAGGCTGAAGTGTCCAGGTGGGATTAGGACAACTGTCCTTGGGTGATGTCCCTTCCAACCCAAACCATTCTATGATTCCATGACGGCTTTTTGGGATGAGGGTCTCTGAGGTGCAGTTCACAGTACTGAGCTTTCAAATGGCCCAAGCACAACCCCTGTTGCAGCCACTGTGCCCCCCTTGAAAGCACCCTGGGTATGGATGAGAGAAGGATGGCAAGAGACTGTTGTCTGATGAGGCTGAGAGGCCCAATTAAAACTGCAGATGAAGTAGCCTCTCCTGGAAATGTTGGATGGTGCCACTGCTGGAATTTTTGAAGGCTGTGCAAGACATTGTGCTTGAGGGAGCCTGAAAAGTGAGCATGGAGAACGGGCTCAGTAATCTAAAAATTTAGATCAACTTTACATTCCTGGCCTATTTAAATATAGCATCTGAGGCCAAAGTCTGGAAAGGAAAATAAAAAACAGATTAATCAAACCTCAGAATTTCAACTTAGATGAAAATAATGTGGTTCAAATATGCCCTAGAGAGGAATGCTTGACAATATTGAGGATGCCAGAACAGTTAGAGCAGCACAATGCAACATGCTGGCATGTGGTAATTTTAAGAGCCAGAAGTATCTCCCCTTAAACAATCAGAAATGCAAATGTGAAGCCTGTTTCCCCTCCTTGCTCTGCTTTTTCTTGACAACTGCTGCCAGGATCCAACCACTAACCTGTCACCACAAAAATATGTCGATGCATTTGCAATGGCTGAGGCATTAATCCTGACCTTCATGTGTATGAGTGTGCCTTGCTTACTCAGTCTTCAGGCCAAAGTCTGTTTTCTCAGACTGACTCAGTCCTACCAACAGCCAGGAGAATGGGACGGCAAAGGTTTTGCATCAAGATGCCCAGCATCATGCAGACAGGTTCTGGTCATACACAGAACAATGACTAAAAAAGTTTGTCAAAAAAAAAAAAAAAAAGCTTGTTAAAAAAAAAACACAGATGATTTAACCTAGAACTTTTTCTAATCCAGGTCAGCTCTACGGCAAGGACAAGAACCCGATTTCCACCACATAGCTAAGCTGTCGTATTAAAAATTCAGGCTACACACGTCTCAGAGTGGTTTCCAGATTCTCTCCAGAACTGAGCAGGGACTGCAGATTGTTTCATACAGTCTTTTTCAAAGAAGTGAAAATAAAAATCTGTCCTGCATGGAAATGGGATGCAATTTACACATTACTGAGACGTAGCAGTTTTTGCTCTTTTAAAAATTCCAATGAAAAGAACAGCCTTTTAACTGACATTTGAAAAATATTTTTTCCTTTCTTCTTCATTTTTAGCTACTGTGTAAAGTATACTAGAATACTTCTTTCCTCTTGCTTGCCTACTCTTCTAGAATCTTCTTGCTCCTCCTTACAACCTCTGTCCTCTGTTGTTTTCTTAGTGTCTTCAAAATTCGGAAATGCTACCCTGCCCTCCTACCCTAAAAGTAAAATAAAAAACCAATGAGGCTTAACACGATGTCTTATTTTTTTATTAAAATTCCATACCAACACAGCAAAACATTCTGGAAACAAAAATCTTAACCAACATGGGTTAAAACATAAAATGACTGGGTCATTGTTTTATCTTGTTACATTTAAAGCTGCCTTCACTAACCAAATGTTCATAGGGGCTGTGCCTGCACGCTCTGTCATCACCTTGTAAGTTACCTTACAGAGACCATTTCCCCTGTATTGCAAGTCACCAGCAAGAAACTGCTCCTCTGCTGATACATACAGTATCATTACTGTACAATCGTAAACAGGCAAGAGGGTGAGCTGCTGCAGCACAGCTGATCCCTGTTTCCTTGCCAAACTAAACTAAAGAGGGGTGCACAGCCCTGCAGCACATTTCGCTGGGGCCAGGAATGCCCCAGCTGTCATTAGGATGCACCCTGCTTACCCCTTGGCTGCAGCAAGCACTGCAGTTTAATGGGAGAGAGGAGAAATATGGGATATATAGTGTCCAGCTCAGATGCGTTACTGTGCTTCACAGTGTCATATCAGAAGTGAGACGCACTTTTATACATGATTACCTTGAATGCACTTAAATAATGTTTAAATGTTTTGCAGAGTGGATGCCATGTGGAAGGAAAGGTGATGGTGGTGCATTTCACACACCACTTTGGCAGCATTTAATGTGACTACAGGTTATGGATGAAACAGCTTGCCCGTCTCAGCTCCAGTAAGCACTGGGGCATACCGTTGTCTTTGCTGGATATAGCCTGTAGCAGAATTCCTCTCCTGGGCAAGGCTTAGCAGCAAAACATGAGAAGGGTATTGAAGGGATTTAATTGCTTGCAAGTCTTAGTAGAAGCTGCCCATGTGTGTTCTCAGTGTACACGTGAGAGTATAGATGTCTGGATCCTGTGTGACAGGACATTTCAAACCCAGCTATGCAGCAATACATAGACCTTACGTGGTCTATGTATTGAACACAAAAAGAGGATTTGAAGAAAAAAAACAAGCTGAAAGGGACTAAATAAGCTGCAGGACAGATGTCATCCAGTGAATTACTTAAAAGGTAGTAAGAGTATCCCAGTATAATCTGGAATTGCTGCATTTTTGCTAGCTGTGAACCCATCCCAATACCCACTTACAGATACTACCTCACTTGGGATAAGGCAATAAAACTTCATGTTTTGGCCACACAGACTACTGTAATTATATAATGTTCTGTAAGTTTTCTATACAACAAAGGACCTCTTTCATAGAGGCAAAGCTAAGTGAGAAGTCACTTTGACATGCCGTCATGAGAGAAGGAGGCTGGGCACCAATGGGAAAAATGGGACCTGGAGGTGGAAACACTTGAGAAAGCAGCGGCCTTGAAAAGCAGGCTGCAGCAAATAGCACATCTCAGAGCTGGAAACAGGGTGGAGGTAGAGGATGTCTGGGAGAGGAGACAGGGTTTGAGCAGAGAGGCACACAAAAGGGCAGGCACAGACGAGCAGGATCAATTCCAGACCCCTTGTCCAAGATGATGGAGTCTCCTTGTCTTGTCAGCATGGGGTTATTAAAACAAAATTGTATGCTGCAGAATGCTCCTCAGGCAGTACAGCAGCAGGGTGCCGAACTCAGGTTCTGCCCTGCACTCCAGCCAGGAAGGTGGCTGTCCCGGCCTGGGGCTACCACTCTGCTGCGGCGGCCCTGTGCTCACCCTTGCGGTAGCACCTGATGGCTGGGAGAGTGTGAGGGGCTTCTTTTCTTTGCTGTTTATGGGAAAAGAAAGCAGATGGGAAATCATACAACAACAACAAAAAAAAAAAAAAAAAAGGAAAGGTGAAGAGGTTTCTAAACCGAATCCAAGCTTGTATCAGGCCTCCCCTCCCTTCCCCACCTGCCTCCTCCCCTATTTATAATACACCTGGGTTCTTCAGTCGGATCATTTGTACATACAGCTTTGCCACTTGCAAGTGACAATACAGTGCTTAAATGTGAAAAGCACGTGCAGGGTGCATGGACACCTTCCCTCTTCCTTCCCATACACATGCTCTTCACTGCTGCTCTTACAGGCTGTCGTTGCAGCAACAGCTGCCTTTCGCATTACCACTGCATTCATGAGCGGCCGTGCTGTTCCCCCACGGCCAGTGCCTTCCCTGTGCCTTCCTGTAGCCAAACCTCCTTCAGCTGGGGGCTGCAGCCGCCTGCCTGCCTGCCTGCCTGCCTGCGGCAGCTCCTGCTTACTGCACCATGTGCCACCGTTCTTCCCTCCCTGCCGCACTGCTTGCTAAGGACATGCTGTGGCACAGCTGTCTGCCTCTGTTGCCGCAGGTTTGGACTGCTGTGAATGCTACTGATGTTGAGCTCCTGTGGTGACCCAGCACCCCATAGGAGGAGCAAGTGAGCTGAGACGTCAACGCAAAAAATTATAGCCATGCAAGCTACCCCTGCGCTCAGCTGCTGGGAGAGTGCATACATGGCTTGTGTGACAGCACTAGCACGCAGAAGCGGCAATGAAATGCAGTCAGCAATACAGCTGGGAGACAGGCAGCGAGGCAGGCACTGTTCCAGTGACTAAAATGATCGCACCGTGAGCCAGCCTGCAGTGCCTCCAAAAGTGGCTGATTACTACTACAGGAGCTCGGCTTTCTTTGCAGTTACTCCAGTTCCCCCCGGGTGACTGCAGTGTGTGCTCTGTTTTGGTTTTGTTTGCCTTTCTTTTTTATACCCGCACATCCCACCACCACCCGTCTCCCTCTCTCTCCTCCCGTGTCCTTCTCTCCAGGATGGCGGAAGCAGAGTTGCACAAGGAAAGGCTCCAAGCCATAGCAGTAAGTCAGTTTCATTTTACTTGCTCTTTTGTCCATAGCCGTGGGTTGTGGAGGGAAGCAGGGATTCCAGCAGGGTGGCTGGGAAGTGCCTGGAGAGCCTGGCTGCCGCGAAGTTGTGCGTGGAGTTCCCCGTTCGGGAAACGAGTGGTTAAAGTCTGCTTTGCAGGATTTGGCGGAGAAAGAGGGCTCTGAGGAAGAGCATTGAGCTGACACGTGCGGAAAGAAAAATGTGAATTCACAGTGGCACATTTAAAAGATTGATGATGGAGAAGAAAAGAATAAGTGGGGAGGATGGGAGATTGCAGGAGAAAATCAGTACTCTGCTGAAAAGATATTTTCTCACAGTGGGAGATTTAGCTTAGCTGATTAAGAAGTTAAAATCATCTGCAGCAGGATGGCTTTTTACTGCAGAAAATAATTGTGGTATTAAGAATTTTTGAAACAATACGAACAGAATAATCAGAATCATGTAATTATTTGGTCTATTAGATAAACTGTCACCTCAGCTTAATAGCTGAGCACATGCTTTTAGCCAGATTCCCTGGCAAGTTGCATCCTGCCATGGATAAAGTCTAGGCAGTATTTTGCCCCATTTTAGTTAAAACTTCTGTTTCCACATTTAGTACCATAATTTGGTGTGAGCCATGAGCTGAGCTGGTGCAGCCCTCAGAGGAACGTGGGCAGTGACACCTAGTGAGGCTTGAGCCTGGGTGTTTAAAAGCCACCATCATCACCACCATCATCCCGGCATGCAGAAATTGCCAGCTCATCTTTCAGCATGGCACAGGCGCTGTGTCAAAAGGCCTGTGTTTCCGTGGGCACTGCCAGTTTGCCAGCCCCACACAGCCTGCCCTTGTTCAAGTGACACCCAGCTCTTCTTCTTCCCCATGGCTGAGATGCTGATGCAGCTGTGCCAGTCTCAGCTGGATGGCACAGCCTGTGCCGGGGACTGCACACCTGGAGGTCTGAAGGGAAATGACAGAAGATGGCAGAGCCCACATGGATTTCACGCTCCCTTTTGTGGTTCTCCCAGTGATCAACAGATGCTGTTTTACTATATCCATCAGAGATTACAGATTTGCTTTGTAGTAAGAGGAACGGCTGCTGCTGCTGTTCCAAGCTGCTTTAAGTTTGTTATCCGGCTAATAAGTTCATAGAGATTTAAAATAACCAGATGTAAAATAATGTGTTTTTTTTCCTCCTGTGAAATATTTCCTGAAAAAAAGCAAATGGTATCATTTGATATGTCTGGGAGGCTATATCCATTTAGTTTTCAGGTAGTGGAAAGTCGATGCGTATTTTTAAGCTGGTTCACAGTTTTCTGTCAGCATAAGCATTGCCAAATTAATCTCCAAATGGAAGCAGCAGAAACATTCTCCCAGAAGCAGGCCTCACTACTGCCTCTGGTTTGGGACACCCTTATGGCCGAACCATACTGCAGAGCTGCTCCACGCATTGCTGTCTTGCAAAGCTCTGAAAAACTTCCCTCTACACATTAAAATAAGTGTTTTATATTATTAGTACTTCTTTAGAACACTATATGTCAGAAAACCAAGAGGCATACCAGTTTCCGCTCCACATGATGTGCCTAATGCTTTCACAAAAGTAAATCAGATGCTCTGCTTGTGGTGCTTCCATTTCACACCAGCAAGGCCATTGGTGTGTAGAATTATCACCTAGTGTATCACAACTTTTTACAGTAGCTTGGTGCTGGTATGAGAGAGGGCCTTGGGAATCTGGATCTTAATTTTCTGTATTTCTCTTCAGGCTTCTGTTTCTGGCAACAAATAAAGCATAGTACAGCAACGTGTGCAGTGAATTACATTGACAGAATTTTATTTCAGCATCAAAAGTATTCAGCCTTACTTTAAGCTTGAATGAGGGCCCATGAACTGACTTGTTTACTTACTCACTCCGCGGAGCAAGAAATTTTCTATATAAACTTGTTAGGTAACTTTTCTCCAGTGCTTGGGCTGCTACAGGTGTTTGTCAGAATGCAGAGATATTTCTTTCTAGCGTAAGCTTTGCTCCGTCAGGATGAATGACATGGCACAAGTTAGCCATTTCTCTTGTGCCACCGGTTAGCGACACAAAATAAGGCAAGTTCTCAGAAGTTTCATGGCCTTTCTCAGAAGAAGGAAAAGGTGGCAATTTAGTTTGGCTTGATGTTCCCTCTATTTTAACGAGCTGCAGTATCTCACTCAGATGAGCAGAAGCTTACACCAGCACTCTTCAGTCAAGCTGGTTGAATGCTAGGCATATAGAAAGAAATCCACTTACTGTTGGAACTTAAGCACACTGTTCCCTGTACGTTTGTGCTTGCTTCCATAATCACCATGGCAAATGAGCTTGCCAACAAGACAGAGTAAATTTTACATGTACATTGCTGAGTATTTAAGGGAAAGAAAATCCAAACATGGAAATGTGAATATTTGCACCAGAAGGCTGACCTCTTTTGAAGAGTTTGATTGTGTACTTTGCTACTCTGACTAAGTTTTAAATATATGGCTGTCTGGCACAGAGTCAAGTGTCATGGGAAGAGGAAGAAACAGGTCTGACTGTTACAACTTTAATCTCAACCTTGGTGAACATGAGTTAGCCACTTGTTTTGTCAGCAGGAGGTATTTAGCCTCTCTGTGCATTCATTTTCCATCCGTAAACTGTGAATAGTGGACTTTGCCCTTGTCCAGAGAGCTGTTAGGGATGCATGCAAGATTGAGCGGAACTTGGATGCTATGGTTTACCAGGGCAAGAAAGAGCTAAGTAAGTCTTTAAAAAATAGGATGTGTGATTCCAAAAACAAAAAAGGAGCTTCAAGTGTATATGTTTTTAATTCCATTGTACATTCCTAAGCTGTGATTTTACATTTTTGTGTTTCTGAAGTCCCTAAAATTCACAGAATTTCTATAGTAAGACTAAAAGCACTATGGAGGTTCTGTTTTGGAAGTGGGGAGATGTAAGACAGCTACTAAAAAGTGGAACACAATTCTCTCTGCTGGGAAGGAAAACATAAACTTTGTGTTTTGGGGAGGACCTGTGGTAGCCAGGAGCACCTGGTTTTCTGATCCTTCCTTGAGCAGAGGTCACATCACATCTCCCCGCTTGGGTGTCATGTGTGCACAGACAGATACTGGTAAGTCTTTCTGTCATTCCACACTGTTAACATCTGTTTGAGCCTGATCATAAATCACCACAGCATTGATCTGCTGCTCTGACACTAACGGAACCAATGGTGCCCACTCTGAATGATGGGGAAGATGCCCTGCAGGAGGCAAGCAAGAGGTTGAAAGAGGAGGTTGGAAGCTGTCTGCCTGATGAGCTTGTTCCTATAGCACAATTCAGTGCTTGCATCTGCTTTTTTCCTGAAGGGGAGTGGTGGGTAAGATTTTGGGTGAAAAAGGAAACATTTTTGTGGCTTTAAAAAATATGCCTGCTGTGAGTTGCTCAGAAGTTTGGAATGCTAATAGTCCCAGAGGAAGTGGGCTTCATGGCCAAAGGACAGGTGAGCTGAGCTAATTTATCACATTTTAGATAAATAAACTGTGTGGCTCCACAGTTTGTTATATAGCCTTCTTCTCTATGACTGCAGAGATCACTGCCAGATGCACAGACAAGCATTTATGAAATGTAAATATTTTCTGTCACTTAGCTAGCAGTCATAGTTGGGAAGCGGGGGCGTCGAGTATGTATTGGTGCATCTGGGATACAAATGAGTGTATGACTCAGTGAATATGTGTTATCCATAAATCAGGTAAATTAAAGGCAATTGCATAGGGAAAGCACTGAGGAGAAATCATCCACTAGAGCAACCAGCAGTGCAGGAGCTGGAGGAGTCTTTCGGGTTAAGGATATATCCAGCCTATAGATGAAGAAGCTCCTAAAACATACTGATTTGTTAGCAAGTCAAAAGTGTTACTGCTTACTAGTGCCCACGTCTGACTAGTTCAGTGAAGCATTAAAGAAAAATAATTACTGACATTCAAGTAGCCATGTCAAAGATGCTTCCTGTTGAACAAGACCATTCTTGCTTTTTCTATGAGATTATGAGTTTATTGAGCTAGATCTACATTACTTAAGTGTCATCAGGTGTTTTACTCAGCATGGCAGGACACTGTTGTTTAAAAATAGCCCTCTGCTGTATCAGAGAAGGCTGCCATCAATGGATTAAGGACTCGCTGACTGAAAGGTCTCACAAAGTTTCTGTTAGTGAGGGAGATGACTGAACAGAGCCTTCTTCCTTGAGAACAAAGGCTGGGGAGGGCTTACAGGAAGCAGCTTTTCAAGGCTTGAATGTGTTCTTTATTGGTTCTTTGAAGTAAATGAAAAATTGATAGAGTGTAGGCAACACATAGAGTGGTGGAAGGAGTAAATACAAAAGCAAAAAAATCAGTCCTGCTGAACAAGTTGGATTATTTGATAAGTGAGGTTCTCTATTTAAAGAGGTCCTTCACTCCTGTGTACAGCTGGTGTTAAGAGAGGACAAAGCAGGACTGTGCATCCAAATATAAGGGACGATAGGACCAGCACCATAGAAGAAAGCTCTGCAGTCTGATCAGTGCTACCTTTTGCAGGTGGCTAGAACTAGTATGGGAGGTAATTCAACAGGGATGAGGAGTGGATCTTGATTTTGCAGAGATTAGTTTCACATAAGAGGTTAGGTTTTAGAGTCCTCCCCAAAGGTTCATATATGTTTACATATAGCACTGCACTAATTTTTCAATTATTTTTCATTTAAAAAATCATTTTTTAAATCTTAATTTCATTAAAAATTCAATAATCATAAAAAATCAATAATTTTTTAATCTTATTAGACCAAATCTTAGCTTTGGAAAGATAATACTGGTCTAGTTTCAGTATCACAATTGCTAGCAACTTAGGCATTCTACATTTCTGACTTAGACACTCAGCTACTGCAGTGAACATCATGTGGTACATACAAATTTCAGAAAACTTTTTGACAGACAAGCCAATTTTTTTTTCACCCATTCACCTGTTCTCTG